TTGAGGCTGCCCTTTACTTTCCTAATGGTGCTCCTTGGAGTCCACTCAAAGCAAATGGTTTCCATCCTGGTCTTCCTGCAGTTTCCCCAAGCCTCCTTCCCTTTCCTTCCTGCTTGGCCCATTGTTACTTTGATGTTTCTTCAAGAAGGGGCTGTCTGTGTCAAATCCTTGCTCACTGGCCGCTGGGCCAGCTTCTGTTCAGAGGCCCAGGTGGCCAGGGTTTAGACCGGTTTGCACATGGGTCAGTTCTGGCTGGGGATGAATACATGCGGGGCCTGTCATATTCCCCAAAGGGGACCTTAGACACCTCCCACATCTGCCTCCCACACACCATAGTGCAAACACTTGCCCAGATCCAAAGCCAACTGCCTGGCCTGGGACAGAGGCTCTTTGTAAAAGAAAGCCAATCTCAGTTCTGTCCTTGCCCGGTTGAGGTCTCGGGCCTTCTCTTCGTTAAAAGGAGTGGGCATCAACTGCCCTTCCATCTTGTTCTCCTTAAACAGCTCAGTGTGTTCGTTTCACTTTTCTTATGTCTTCTTTGAGATGCTCCAAGTGTCTGAAGCACCCGTCCTAACAGCATTATCTGACTCTACATCTGCTTTAATTTTCTACCCGTCTCTTGCTTGACACCACATCTGCAGCTGACCTATCCTAGCTTCGCTCCTTGCGAGACCCATTCCCTTGGGGAGATGGAGCCTTTGAATCTGCTGCTCTCACCAGGTGTAGTGACCTTCCTGATATTCCAGTCCCAAGGAGTCTGATTAGAGGGAACTGTGAGTGTGCTGCCTCTGTGAGCTTCCTAACAAGGCCCTGCCCCCGATATAGAAATGAACCCCTGTTCCCCAGCACGGAGAAGAGGGCCTGGACACAAGTCACTCATCAGATAGACTCTGAGTGAGTGAATAAATGGATGGGTGAAGGAATGAATGAACAAGGCTATCCTTGGAGAAAGCAGGATCAAAAGGTGAGATTTTAAGACATCCCTGCACAGAGATTAACAGCCTTAACTCTTAACACTGGCATCTGGGAGCTGGGAAGAGGATTGTCAGCAAAATGCTTGCCTAGCAAACACAGGGACCTGGATTTCATCACAAGAAACCCAAATTACGAAACCCAGGTGTGGCAGCACATGCCTGGCATTCCAGAGGAGGTGGAGGAGGCAGGTGCATACCTAGGGCTGGATGATCAGTCAGTCTGGCCTACTTGGCAAGTTTTAGGGAAATATCTTGTCTCAAAAAAAAAGGTGGACCTTGCCTGAGAACCGTACGAGAGGTTGACCTCTGGACACACACACACATGTACACACACACACACACACACACACATGTACACAGACACAGCTACAAATGCACATAAGCTCACACACAGAGACATACATGCATGTATACACACACTCACTCACTCTGTCTCTCTCTCACACACACATGCACATAGATACACATACATATGTACAAGCTCACATACAGAGAATCAGGTACACATGCACACTCCTTCTCACACACACTCCCTCTCTCTCTTTCTCTCTCTCTCTCACACACGAACACAGACATATATGCATACAAGCTCACACATACACAGACACTGATGTGCGCACGCATGTACGTGCGCGCGCGCGCGCACACACACACACACACACACACACACACACTACACTCAGGTGTTCATCAAGGGAGACAGGAAAATTCAGAGATGCAGACTTTCAGAACTGTGGCCTCTGAGGAGTCTGGCCCACCTCATCCAGTACTTCTGAAAAGCAGTGCCTCAGTGCATGATGTGCAGGGGGCATAGGCCCCCACATACGACTCTGGGTATTCATGCTCCCTGTTCTTCACCAATCGGGAGGGGGAAGGCCTGTGGCTACACAGCTCCTGGCTCCGTGGCTGTCCTACCCCTGGAAACTGGTTTTCTCATCTGCACAGGGAAGCTGACTGAAGCACGTCCCAGATGCGATTCTGGCGGATTCAGGGCACTGATGGATGAAGTGACTGTCTTGGCGATGGTGTCTGGGATCCCTCCAGGGCTTGCTTAACCTGGACCATGCCTCCTTCCTCTTCAGAGCACTCTTCACTTACTGTGATGGTCTGGGGAGCTCTGCGGTGGGACTGCATGCTAAAGGAAGCTTAGGCTCGGCTCTGGAAGGAACTGTGTATCATCTGTTTACACTCTCTTCCTGGTAACACCGAGGGTAACATCGTGGGGTAACAGAGCAATCTCTGGTTGCTGTACTCAGGAAACATTCTGCATTGCTCTTTAAGTTTATTCATTATTATTATTGTGGGAGTGAGTGGGAGATGGGAAAATCAGGGGTGGGAAGTTACCATCAGACAAAGGAATGCCAGGAGGGGGTTCTTTTCAGTTCCTGCCTGTTTTTACCACAAAGGCTGGAAAGGTCTTTCCTGAGATGAGCCGAAGAAAACAGATCCTGGTTCCTTCCACAGGGAAACTTGTTTACCCCACAGCTTTTTTTAGAACCCATAAAAGTTGGTGAGCTTGGCTCTACCTCACATCCGCAATTCTTCTCCACTCAGCAAATATCAACAGGAAGGGGCTCTTGTCAGTGACGGCACTGGAAGCAGAGCGCACCAGAGCCTTAGACTGGCTGCCTTGTCAGAACTGGAGACCAGACATGATCTCAGGGGCTGTTTACAAAAGCACGGCTCTCAGGGCATGGGAGAAGACACCGCTAGCCGGGTAAATTGAATCTGTCGGGGACAGCACTGCCTTTGATGTGACTCCTGTCAATTATAGAGTCGTTCTGAAGCCGAAGCAGCATCCAAGCAGAAAATCATTTATGATAGTTGGTAGCTGATTAAACCATATAACTGTGAGGAAAACACACACACACACACACACACACACACACACACACAGCTACTTTTACAAGTGTGGAAGAAGACCCTATAGTAGGCAGGAAACCAGGAGAGAAGTATATCAACCAGATAGGAATTACCGTCTCCACAAAGGTCGGAGACCTAGATGACAGTAGCTCAACAAGGGATGAAGAAGAGGTGATCTTGATCCTTCTTGGGGTTCTGGGGAGCCAAACAGCTTCCGCAAGGAATGAAGGCTCAGAAATAGCGGTGGGTCCGGGTGGAACGGCTTTGGGCAATACATCAGCAAGTTTGGGTGAGTAACCAAAAAGGTCGCTATTTGAGCAACGAGATAAGTGATGCCATCGTTGGACATTCACAGAATGAAAGAAATACCCATTGTCCCCAGCTGATAGAAATGCACAAATAATGGCAAAATAACAAGGGATAGTGAGAGGAAGGATAGGGATTCCCTCAGAGTTAGATACCTACTAATTACAAGGGGTAAGAAAAACAGAAACATTTGCATGAGGCAAACATCACCATGATGATCCTTTAAGGTGGGAATTCTTCATCCATCCTCAAATTAACAGGTGAGACTATAAAACCAGAGTCTCTTTCCCTGGTGAGTGCTCATTACAGACTGGAAAATGGCATCTCTACAGAGGAGAACCTGGCAGTCAGACCTCGTAGCCGACAGCAGCACGCCTGTCCTTGGTTTCATGTGCAGAGGAGTTACCACAGTGTCTATGGTGTTCTTATTCCAGACATGTCATCTCAATCTAATGATGAGAAAACACCAGCAAAGCCCAAAGTGGGATCCAGGCTCTGAGGTGCTCATTTCAATTTCACAAGTACCAAGGTCATGGAAGACAATGAAAGCACGTGAGTTAGACCCACATGAATCCTAACCCAAGTCTTCTTTCAGAAGAGCACCTTACTGGTGACCCGGAAGTATAAGTGAGGTCTGTGGGCAACACAGGGCACTGCACCAATGTTAATGCCCTGGCTTTAATGCAGTTAGATCGTTTCTTGTCTTTTGGATTTAGGCAAAGCTTAACACTGGATTAAAGGTGGGCTGGCATCTCTGCATCTGTGTTGCTGTTGTTACAATTGTTTATCAGTGTCTATGTTGAGGACAGAATCTTCTCTGTAGTCCAGGCTGGTCCATAAGTTAATACTGACCCAGACTGACCTAGAACCTGCTTCAATCTTCTGCCTTAGCATCATGAGTGCTGGGATTACACCTCTAGATCTCTATGTTAATCTTATTTTTATTTAATTTTGTTGAAGTGTGTGTATGTGTGTTCTTTATGTTTTTAGACAGGGTTTCTCACTCAGCCTGAAGCAAACTGATTTGTGTCATCTGCCTAGCCATAGAGCCTCAGGCATCCTCCTGTGTCTGCCTTCCCAGCACTAGGATTATAGGTGCCCTCCACAAAATCCATCTTTTCTATGGGTGCCAAGGATCTGAACTCATGCCCTCACATTTGTGTGGTAAGATTTTAGTGATTTAGCTACTTCCTCAGCTCTCTGTGTTCTTCTTGACTCTATTTGGTAAATCTATTATTATTATAAAACAAAAAGGCAAACAAGAATGAATCCAAGCTTGACTTCCTCTGTACAAGGCAGGAGTGCACTCCTTTTCCAGGTGAGTCCTGATAGAAGCTACTGAATGCAGAGGCGAGGTCTTACAGGTTAGCTATCTTCCTTAAGAAGTATCCCTGGGGTTTTAAAACCCAAACAGACGTATCAACCCATCTTGCTTCGTTTTGCGAAAAAGAAGTCATGTCTACAAGAGCAAATATTTAGTCAAGTATTTTCTCGGTCCTTTAAATCCAAAGGAGAAGAAACACAATGCAGATGGTCATCTGACTATTCCCCTTTGGGTCCACAGAAACCATTCTTATTCCTGTTTCTCGCGACCACCTCCTGCAAGATATTAACTCATCTGTGGAGAGAAACATAATTCCCTCTAGCTGTATGGTAAGGCTTCTGTTCCCAATGTGGTTCTTCACTGAGAAACCTCGGCGAATCAGAATAATTCTAGAAGACCTGTGCACTACATGAGCTCAGCTACCACCCAGGATGGCGTCCACTGCTGAACCATGGGACTGTGCTGGAAACAGACACCATTATGTCACCCGGAATGGGGACCCACCCCTGACTGCACCGAGGCCAATTACGTACCTCCCACCGCATTGCAACGGGATGTCATTTCCCAGAGTACCAGAGCCATGGAGTAGACATCTGTCTGCTTGAAGGACTCCACGTTTTCCAAATTCATCCTGGATTCTAGAACTTCGGGGGCCATGTATCTTGCTGTCCCCACCTTTTAAGATAAAAACAAAAACACAGAATGAAGCTCCTAACTGAACTTCAATTTTGAGTGAAGTTGTCACAGGGGATTTGAGCTTGGGCTTCACATCTACAGATGTTTTCCTTTGTTTCTTGAGGCTTCTTTCTTTATTTTTAGATAACTCCATACATGTATATGATGTATTTTGATCAAATTTATCCCTATTATCTGTAGATGTAATTAAGGAGGCCCACAAGAGCCTGGAATAAAGGATAACAAGTATTTATTGGTTTGGGAAGAAAACTCACAGTAAGATTAGAGAGCCGTGGTCCTCTATGGGGGCTGGAAGCTGTGAACCTGACGCCAACCATCAACCAAGAGAGAGCAAGGGGCTCTCATGCTTCCTGTTTGTGCTTACAGTACCTCAGACCATGCCCTTATGGGCTGGTATCCAAGACACTATTGACGGAATGAATTCCCACAACAATTATCTTCTCTTATTTCTTGTCCACTTCTTGAATCCCCTCTTGCTAACAAGTCCCATACCTACTTCCATGTCTTTTTGAAATGATCCATTGCATTTGATTAGAGTTACTCATAAAAACATTAGTGGGAGCTTTCTGGGATCAGGGTAACTATCAGTGGCTGTACCACTGAAGACACGTGACTCCTCTCCTTTCTCCCCAGCAACCACCCACTGGCAACAGCTCTTCAGCTGGAGGTGGGGTGGGGTACTTTCTTTCTTCCTAACCCTCCCTCCCTCCCTTCCTTTTTTTTTTTCCTTCCTGCCTTTTACTACTGATAAAACTTTAAAATTTTGAAAAGACTGAGGTGATTATAACTGGTATAGGGTTGGGGGTTAGGGTGGAAATTATGTAGGCTCAGGGATCTTCTTTGAAAACAGAAGGGAAATTGGATGGGATAATAAGTAGATTAGTGTGAGCTTACTCACACTAATAATAATAGTGAGTAACAGAGTGAATACTTGTGACCTATTATTTATAGACAGTTAACATTGGTATAGATTCTTGTATACTGATATGAATTCAAATTATGTTTGTTATCATTGAACATGCTCCTATTTCTCTTTACAATATTTGTACACCTATGCAAAGTTACTTTGTCATATTGTATACATGCATGTTTCTACCTCTGCCTAAGACATTTTGTATACTGACACAATTTTATATATCTAACATATATTTATCATATTGCACTATACACTCTATCTCTGATCAAGATTCTTATATACTGCTTACATTTGAGGTCACTGTACTCACTTGCTGCACAGTTGCTTAAAGATTGTTTAATATTCTAATATGAAGTCGTAGTCTTTAAGCTATACAGGCATTAAGCATTATAGGTCAATTAGCCCCTCCTGTATGTATGCCTGCCTGCCTCCCTCCTTCCCTCCCTCCCTCCCTCCATTCCTTCCTTTATTTTTTTTTTTAACATGGTTGCACATAGCCCAAGCTGGCCTCATCCTCTGTAGCTGGTGATTTCCTTGAGCCACCTATCCTCCTACCTCCATTTCCAGAGCGCTGAGAGAACATACCACACCCACTTTTTGGTGATCCTAGGACTCAAACTCAGGGCTTCATGCACACTAGGCAAGTGCTTTGCTGACTGAGTCACAGCCCTGTACAGATTCTCTTTTTTTAAAAAAAAAAAAATCATAGTGCTGTTTTAAATGACGAGAATTACACAGGCAGGCAGAACACATACCATTATTTTCTCTCTGAAAGCTCTTCAAAGACTCTAAACAAAACATGCTCAAACAAGTATCCCAACCCAGAGCCACTAATTCAACAGCATATGCCATCCTGTTATTCAGTATTCTTATAGATAGCCTCAAGGACCACATCTATGATATTTTAGATGCTTATATATTTCTAAAGATTTATTTAGTTTTATTTTATGCGGTGAGTGTTTGGCCTGCGCCACATGTGCCTACAGAGGCCAGAAGAGGACATCAGATGCCCTGGAATTGGTGTCAAACTCTTGTGAGCTGCCATATGGGTGCTAGGAAGAAAGCCAAGGTCCCCTGGAGGGACTAAGGATCAGAGTCCGTGAAAGGCAGACAAACAGCGGTGTGGGCTATGACTAGGTAATAAAGGCGGTGAACTTCCAAAACGGCTGACTCTTCCTCACCCTGTGGACCTAATACAAAATACTGGCAGCTTAAAACAAGGGCTTCATGGGCTTTTTTTCTCCCACCAGTAGGCCTCTGGATGGAGGGGTCACCAAGTTCAAGGCCTGGTCAGGACATTCTGTATGACATTTGAGCCAATCAGTCATTCTAACTTTCTTCAAACTGAGCAATGCTAAATTAGGGAAGTAAGAGCTGTCAGAGAAGATAAAACCCCCAGTCCTCGAGAAGATTCCCCCCCCCCATTCTCTGCAGGCCCCTTTCTGTGTGTCTGCTGCATGCCTGCATCTCTTCAGTCCAACAAACACCTTTCTTCAATTGCTGATTCTTCCCATTCCTGTTAGTTGTTGTTCTGTCCATTTTTGCTGTGGTTTGCAATTTTTCCACTGCTACCTTTCACCCTTGAGTTTTTTCTCTTACCTTTAAATTCTTTAACTGGCAGAGAAAAGGAACCTGGTCAAAACCCCTAGAATAACACCCGGTAAGAGCAGCAAGTGCCCTTAGCGGCTAAGTCATCCTCCAACCCCTTACATGTTTACTTTTGGTTTTGCAAATTAGATATTTTTTTCATGTTTGAAACTCTAAGACTCTTGATGAAAATAATTGTCACTCACATGGGTCACTTAAGGACCATTTAATTTTAATTTACCCCATGGCCTCTATGACATAATTTCATAAATCTCTGCTAAATTAAAGCCATATGAAAAGACCAGATCATACAATAATTTCTATGAATGTGATGTGTAGCTATATTCTGGTTATTTAGGTCTGTGATCAGTTTTATGATTGACATTAAACAAACACAGGACTGCAGGGAAAAGGGAATGCCATTTCTAAGGGAAGGTTTTCAAATGGAAATGTTTGATATCGCAGTATATATGAGTTCATCCAACGTCCATCACTGTCATACAGAGGTCAAATAATTAATACCATTTGTTTCAAAGAATAGTTCTTATCGGCCTGTCTTGGAAGACATTTTCCTTTTTAACAGAGCGCTCTGTGAGTCACCGCCCTGACATATTGACTTGTTTGTGTCTCAGTGAGATGACCTCCGCCCTGCACATGCTGCTAGGGGCAGAGCCCTGACAAGGCAGGAACCTCACAAGTGCGGTCCACTCTGAGGCGGGTTTTAGAGTGCACCCTGTTAGCCAGCCACAGAGAGCTGCCGTCCTCATGGGAGAGCCACTGTGTTAGTCATCGGCGGTCACCTGGGAAGGACATCCTCCGAATGTACCTTCCTCTAAGGCTTTCCATTTGGATCTGGGACAATGCCTCAAAAATGGAATCACTGGGCTGGGAAGATGGCTCAGTAAGTAAAGCGCTTGCCAGACCAGCAAGAGGACAGCAATCCAGTCCCCAGAATCCATGCTACAAGTGGATATGATGGCACACCTTTGTGATTCTACCACTGCATGGAGGTGGAGCGAAGACAGGAGGCTCCCTAGAGTTATCTATCCATCCAGCCCAGCCAAATTGGTGAGCTTCCGTGTCAGCAAATGACCTTGTCTCCCCAAACAAGGTGAGTAGCAATGGAGAAATAGATCTGGACTCCATACACAATGCATGTGTATGTGCACTGACACATATGTGTACCTGCACGCGCGCACACACACACGCACACACACACACAGAATAACAGACAGACAGATGGACAGGTGGACAAATGGAACTGTTCACTCCTTCGACAAATACTTATTGGTCACTTTCACTGCCTGGCATCATGCTGGGTATCTTTGGTAGCCTCGTAAGTGTGGATTTGGACTTCAAGGTCTCTTTCTAGAACCAAGAACTAGTATAACCACTAAGACTAAACAGCAGAAATGATTTAGTACAACCATATGAGAGGAAAAATTAGAGGTAAGATGTCAACAGTTCCTGAAAGAAAGGCAACCGTTTGTAAATGGAAGGGGAATGGGAAGCAGCAACAGCTGACTCAGGTTAGAAAGGATTTGAAGACAGAGTTGGAAAAATGCTATCTATTAATTAAGATAACCTAGTTGAGAGACTGTGGGATGTTGGGGACTAATGGGTACTGACATGCTAATTTTCTAGATTCCTTTAATAAACCGCACAATGTAGAGCTCCTTGAGACAAGAAGTCAGGTGTGTGGGTCAAGAGGGGAGGTGAAAATAGCCAAGTTATGTAGTCAGCCTGGGTTGACATACATGCACACATGTGTGGGGGACATACACACACAGTTGAGTTTTATTGAGATGTAAAGAACAAGAAGATGGCATCTACAAGAAAATAGATGGACCTGGAGGGCATCGTGTTAAGTGAAATAAGCCAGGCTCAGGAAGACATAGTGAGTGTTGTCTATCCTGTGTGGGATTTAGAGGAAGAGATGGAAATGGAAATAAGGGGTGGGGGCCCTTTAGAGACATGGGAGGAGAAAGAAGGCAGGGAAGAAAAGGGATAATAGGAAGATATTCACCCAAGGCATTGTTTGAAGTTCTTTATATGCATGGATGGAAATGTCATAATGAAATGCATTACTTAGGATAACTTATTTATAGTGTACTAATGAGTATATTAAATGAGGATCCAGGAGATGGCTCAGTGGATCAAGTGCTCACTGTATAAACATGAGGACCTGAGTTCAGCTCTCCAATACCCATGTAAAAGCCGGGCACACTGGCGTACCTGTAATCCCAGTGCCTCTGGGTTGGGGTGGGGTTGAAGGAGCAGGACTCACCAATTTTAGCAATCAGTGAGTTCTTGGCTCAGTAAGTCACCCTGTCTTAAAAAGTAAGGTGGAAAGCAATGAAGAAAAGACACCTGATGTCAACCTTTGATCTCCACACATGCATGCTTGCTTGGGTGAGCACATGTGTGCACTTGAGTATGTGTGTGTGCACATGTACACATGTATTCTCTCTCTCTCTCTCTCTCTCTCACACACACACACACACACACACACACACAAACACACACACACACACACACACCTCTCTAATTGAAAAATTTCAGAGAAGAAATTTGAGAACTACTTCAGCCAGCAGCCATTAAGATACCACCCACTTAGGGTGTGGTCTCATGTATTGTAAGTGCAGACAAAAAGCGTGTGCAGCCCTCTTTTCTGCTGGATTCAGTTCCAGTTCCCAGCACACTCAGAGGACTGCAGATCGCTACCCTTACTGTGAGTGTATCCCCAAATAAACAAACCTTTGCTATATTCCATTCTGGGCTATTGTGGAACTCTTTGGTACGACTACAAGGAAATAAAAGAAAAAGGTAGAAGTGAGGCCAAGTGTGAGCTTAGGGTCTGGAGCGGCAGTTCGGACTTACCTGCCCACTGTTGGCCAAGTCATCCACAGACAGAGTAGGGTCCAGACGCAGGGACAGCCCGAAGTCACACAGGCAGCAGGTCAAATCATTCTTCACGAGGATGTTCGAGCTCTTGAGGTCCCTGTGGACGATGGGCATCTTAGGCCTCCCACAGGGAGTGTGGTCACTGTGGAGATGGGCGATGCCCCTGGCCAGGGAGCTACCCAGCTTCCGCAGGTCCTCCCAGCTGATGACATGCCTGGTGAGGTACTCCTGCAGGTTGCCCTTGGCGTGGAATGCTGTGATCAGCCAGTATTGCTTTCCCAGCTCCGTCTTCCGCTCCTCAGCAGTCAGGAACTGCAGGACATTCTCGTGTTTCAGGTTGATGTCTGAGAAGATGTCCTTCTCCGTTTTCCATGACGTGTACTCCTCATAGGGGAAGATCTTGACTGCCACAGTCTCGAACTGCTCCGAAGTGTTCTGCTTCAGCTTGGCCTTGTAGACCTCGGCGAAGCGGCCCTTCCCCACCAGTGTGTCCAGCTCAATGGGGAGCAGTTCCGTGTTGTGGTTGATGTTGTTGGCACACGTCGAGCTGATGTCCGAGCGGTCGTCCTCCAGGATGATGGCGCAATTATCGCTGAAGTCCATGAGCTTCCGGGGCTTGCTGCTCTCCCAGGACGGGCTCAGCCTCTGTTGCCGATGGACACGGTAGCAGTAGAAGATGATGATCACAGCTATGGCAATGCCCAGCGGAGGCAGGAGGCTGACGCCCGTCACTTGGATAATGACCAGGAACAGGTCAGGATTGCTGGCAGTGTATTCTGATGGAGAGAGGAGGCGGGAGAGACTGATTAGGTTTGGAAAGTGTGAGCCACCAGGAAGCAAGTCTAAAACCATGCACTTGTACACAGTAGCATCGAACTGTGTCCATGGATACTAGATGGTGATTCTTTGCAGGGATGCTACATACTAGTACACCATCCATGTTCTTCCCAAGGTGAAACAAATCATATATGATCAAGGATACCATACCAACCAAAGTTTGATACATAAGACATTGTTAGATAATACCAGCTCCAGGTCTCTTCTTCATCAGCAATCACGCACATGGTGGTGGTGGGGAGGACAGGGGAGATGTCTCTGTTGGTAAAGCATCTGCCTTGCAAGCATGAGGACCTGTGCTAACCCCCCAGAACCCATATGAAAATGCAGATGCTTGTAATTCCAGGTTGGGAGAAATGGAGGCAGGTGGATCTCTGAGGCTCACTTGTCAACCAGACTAGCCAAATCAGTGAGGCTCAGGTTAAGTGAGAGACCCTGTCACAAAAAGGGTACATGTCATTCCAAAGAAATCCACTAGCATCCACATGCATACATTAGCACACCTGTGTTCCTTGCAGACATAAACACACATCTGTGTATGCATGCATACGCATGTGCACGTGCACACACACACACACACTCACACACACAGATACCATATTCGCATAACATAACAGATTCCCAAAAGATCCTTTCTTTCTATGCTTTTCCTTACCCCTCAGGCACAGAGCTGATGGTTCAGGGTGGCCCGAGCACAGCAGAAGCAGAGGAGGTGGGAGCTTGGGAAGCGGCAAAGGTAATCTTTGCTTGAGACAATTCACTCAAATATCCCCTACTCTTCAAACTTCAGCTTAAAGGTCACTCTCTAAGAAAAGCTGGGAAAACTTAGTGAAGTGTCTTGTGTTACGCAATCATACGGCTTCTCTAGCCTTCCCGTGCGGCTGTGTTTCTGTGTGTGTCAGCAGCATAATCGCAGCTGAGTGACTACAACCTGCTGAACAAAAACTAAGGTCAAGGCACTGGGGATAAACAGAGAATGATGTAACTCCCGTTTTTAAACGAGTGTTTACATAGTGATTGATTTAGCACTAACTGGTTCCCTTCCCCACCTGGCCAGGGCCCTGTGTTTGAAAACTCGATTCCCAGCTGCTGGTGTTGTTTGGGAAGCTTATAGAACCTTCATCAAGTGGAACCTCACTCCCTACAGGAAGCAGTTCTTTTAGGGCAGGTCTTGAGATGTGTAACATGCTCTCTGCTTCCTATGAATGTGCTGTGGTCAGGTCCTGCCAGCCTGCTTTCACCCCTGGGACTGACTGTATCCCTTCAAACCACAAGCCAGGATAATTTCTTCCTTCCTTAATTTGATTCCGGTCAAGTCGTTTGGTTAAAGCAATGCAAAAGTAACCAATTCATATAGAATCTGATAAAACTGTAGAGTGTGGTTCTCAAATGGTGGGTCATGACCCCTTTAAGGATTGAATGACCCTTGATGGCTGTCCAAGATCATCAGAAAACACAGATATTTACATCATGATTAATAACAGTAGCAAAACTATAGTATGAAGTAGCAACAAAATAACTTTATGGTTGGGGAGGTCATCACACCCTGAGGGACTGTATTAAAGGGTCACAGCATTAAGAAGGTTGAGAACCAGTGTTGTAGAGACTGCCACAGTCCCGTTGTTCCTACTGATCCGAACCTCCAATTCACTCTGTTCATTCTGACTCCCACTCAGGCTGCCCTGAAACACCAGCTCTAGGCCTGAGCAGTGGGGAAAGTCATCTCTGGAAGTCAGCGATCCACTCAGTCTCCCTCCTGCTTCCATGCTTTGGTTGCTGCCGATGGTGAAGACAGCTCAACCGAGACCTAACAATGCCTTATATGCAACTCTGTGTGTGTGTGTGTGTGTGTGTGTGTGCCCTCAAAGGCCAAAGAGGGTATCAAATCACTTGGAACTGGAATTATAGGGTAATTCTAAACTATCAAATTGTTGGGACAGGGAATGAGAGGCAGCAGTGATGGCAGACCATGACAGTCTCTCTCTCTCTCTCTCTCTCTCTCTCTCTCTCTCTCTCTCTCTCT